CTACGTCGCGCCAGGACAACCCCGCTTGCAGTGTCTGCGCAGCTCAGCCCGGACCCCGACCCCGCGAGATCGACGGCCTCCACGCCTGCAACTGCGGAGCCGGTTAAACAGATCGCACAACCGGTCGTGTCGCTCGCCGTCATGCGTAGAAAGCCCGCACATCCGAATGCCTTCCACATTCCCGCCGCAGCTGCAGCCACTAAGCCGAAACCAATCCCCGCTACAATGCCCCAGTCGGCACCACACCCTATCGCCCGTGCTCAGAATGCCACGCACGCTGCTTCCGCCGCCGCCATTAGCAAGGAAACACTCAAGCGCCGTACAGACCTCTTCAAGCGCTTCAAGGTGATCCAGGACCGAGCCAAGTTCGACATTGGCCCCAAGGACACACCCGCCGCAGCGGCAGAGTCCCGTCAGCCCGAGCCGAACAAAACCTTGCCCTCGCCAGCTACGAAGCCCAACCAGGTCACCACCAAGTCCTCCACCGCCCGTGCTGACAAGCAACGTCTTGCCGATCCCCTCACTGTCCACTCGAAAGATCGTAACTTTCCCTCCTCTCTCAAACCCGCCTCTCACAACCCCGCCAAGGGTACCGCGTCCTTCAAGGACGCTCCAGCCCCCAAGGCGAAAGCGTCTCCACCCACCGTGGAGGCCATCATGTCTTCCTCTACCGTTCCGTTGCACCCTGATCGTTCGTGCCCTGACCCGACCCCATATCAAACCACTTACGACACGTACAACACGGCGACAGCCCCGCTCCAGGCTCAAGGCACCATCGCCACTCCAACTGCGTCGCATCCTCTTACCCACTTCTCGATGCCCACCTCGCGAGCACCCCCGGTTTCCGCCGTCAGCGCCAACGCCTTTTTGGACGGGCCCATCCACGGGACCGCCGTGGAAGAGAGACCTGCGGATCACCGCCTCCCGCGGAGAGATTCACACACGGCGTATGTGCAAACCATGGAACAATCCTCTAACGCTCCGCCATTGTCTGCAGCGAAGGTTGATGTGCCAAAGGCCACAGGTGAGCGGCAGGTTGCCACGATAGACGTTGCTGCCACGTCTCCGGAAGTTGTGCCGTTTAGAAGGACCAAGTCGGGGCTGCAGAGACGCCTCACGCAGGCCAGAGATGCAGGCGCGGGCATGGTCGCCCGCGCCAAAAAAGTCCCGCGGGGCGCCTCGTTCCCAAGGCTCTGGACGTCGGGAGATACTGCTGCCGCGAGCAAGAACGTCCCGGAGGCTTCCAAACTGGCTTCCGAGGTATCTGTCGCGGCTTTCCAAGGTCATGATGATGTGGAGAGTGCACATACAAAGTCTGAGGGTCCGAGCCAGGGCTATCTTGAAGATGTTAAGACAACCTCCGCGACTGTGGAGAAGACACCGGTGATTGAAAAGACGGTCCCCGCTGGTGTTTCTGGTAAAGATACTGGTCTCACATCTCTGCAGGAGAAGACAAACGTTCACGTCAACCCCTCTTCACCGGCGGCAGTCGACAAAGAGACTGATCGCATGCCGATGATGGAGAAGACAAAGGCCCTTGTCAACATCTCTTCACCAGTAACAGTCCCTGCAGAGAACACGAAAGCGACGGAGAAGCCCATGGCTACCCCAACAATGTCACCGATACCCCAACGAACAGAAGGGAAGTCGAGCCCGACGGAATTGAAGAGCGAGACTAGCGTTGCACCCCAGAGCGTTGTTGATAGTCCGCAAACCATATCGTCAAAGCTAGCATCTAGGGTGGCGAAGTTTCAAGCACTGTCCGAGCAGGATCTGGGCATGAAGAAGGAACCAGCGGTTGGCACGACTCATGGAAGCGACAACACCACCAAGACGGAGAGCATGGGGCAACAAAGCCGCGGCCCACTCAGGCTTGCTCGCAAGTTGTCAAACCACAAGGAAATCAAGCAGCCCAAGGCGATCAAGCCGGTGTTGCGGAGCAAGACGATGCCGAATGTAGGGAGCGTTGTTCCCACGGCCGCGGGCAAGGTTGTAAGGCCTGTGTCGGAGGAATCTGACAGAGTGGCGTTGACAACTGGGATGGATGTTGAGGAGGCACGCGTCAAAACAGCCGACATTGTGACGAAGAGCGGTGAATCAGGGGCAAGGAAGGAGGATGCCGCAGTCAGCACACAGTCGGAAACAGTGGTCAAGGTGCCGGAAACGAGCATTGTGACGAAGAGTAGTGAATCAGAAACAAGGAAGAAGGATGACAGTGCGGCGGCAAAGCTGGAAACGGTGGCCAAGGCGCCAGCGACAAACATTACGATGAAGAAGAAGGATGTGAGTGCGGTCATGGCGAAGCTGGACACGGTGGTCAAGGCGTCAGCCGGGAGCGGTTCAGAGACGACAAGGACCGGAGGCGAGGACAAGGCGGTGGATAAGGGGGGCGAAAAGAACAAGAAGGAGAAGACGGAGACAGTGACGATTGAGCGTGTGATCCGTCGGGTGAAGCGGGACGGGACGGAGGAGGTTGTGAAGAAGAAGATGCGGATCAAGGTAGAGCGAGTGCTATCTAACGGAGACGTGGTGGTAAAACGGATGATGAAACGGATGAAGGAGGACGGATCGGGGATGGAGACGTTGTCGGTGATGCAGGTGATCCCAAGACGGCAAAAGAAGCAAAAGAAAGAGTCGGCAAAAGCAGCAGGGGCAGAAGCGGGAGCACAGGTGACAGCTCCCCCACCCCCACCCGTGGTGTCACAGAAACGGGAGGCGCAAGCGGAACAGGGAGAACAGGGAGACGCGGGCGATGGAGACGGGGGCGAGGGATTGGTGGACATCAGTCAGCAGAGGCGTCTGTCGGAACGGTCAACATCGCTCCTCAGCGGGAATCTGAAAGGGGGTCGGCATCTGGAGACGCCGGTCTCCCACCCGCCGTCGGCGTCGGTGCACCTGCCGCGAGCGAAGACGGAGAGCAACCTAAACGCGGGGGCCGCCGCGGGCGGCGCGGACACGGATGCGGCGCGGCCGGAGCGGCGGGCGAGCGGGTTCCGGCGGTCGCGGTCGGCGAAGATCAAGCGGTCGCGCAGCGGGGCGGCGACGGAGCGCGGCGGCAAGTGGCTCGGGTTTGTGCCGCGCGTGCTCTCGTTCACACGCGGCGAGCGCGAGGAGAAGGGGACGCGCAAGGGGGCGTTTGGACGGCGCAGGCGCGACTAGAGGGGGGGGGGGGGGGGAAGGCGCGATGTGGGTGCGTGACCGTGTGTGTAGTTTGTTCATTCTTTTTGTACAGTAAACTCGTTTATCCGCGTTAGTGTGGAGTGCTCGCTTGTTCACATCGGCGGATATCGGGGCTCGTTACGTCTTTCCGGATTCGCGTGTTCTGCGGGCCGGGGCGGTGGCGGCGATGGGGTGTACACGTGTACACTGACACGAGGCAAACGCTGTACGCGTGGCATTGACACGCAAGACAACGCTGAGGACAACGACGTACACGTGGGGTCCGTGGACACCGTGTACGGGTCGGGGGTGGTTTTGTATCTGAAGCAAGGTTTCTGAAGAAAGGTATCTGCAGAAAGGTATCTCAATTGTGTGCCGACTGGGGGGTTACGTAGTGTCGTGTGGCGACAGAAGCAAGGCGGCAGTCAGGCCGCGGGGGTCGGGTCGGGTTCCCGCTCGGCCTGCCGGTGAACGTTATATGCGAACATAGAAGCGGGGATACACGAGCGGGGGGGATACACGAGCGGGGATACACGAGCGGGGATACACGAGCGGGGAATGTATGAGCGGGGAATATATGAGCGGGGAATATATGAGCGGGGAATATATAGATGAAGGGGCGCGAGCGGGGCGGAGGGAAGGGGGGCGAATGTCGTGGCGGGAAATTCAACGAGTAAATTTGGCGGGCGCGCAGAGGATTTGAAAAGGAAGAAACACCTAAATTTTGGCGCGGTCTTGCGGGGGAAACCTTTTGAACGCGCCGCGCGACTGAACGGTATTAGATCCCGCGCGGGCGGTGGCCACCCTCGTGCGCTTTGGCCGTTTTCCAAACTCCGGCGACATGCACACTCACACACACACTCACACACACACTCACACACATACTCACACATACACACACAACCCTCACAGGCACGCAGCCCCCCGACGGGCCACGAGAGAGCAGGCGGGCAGCGAAGAAGACATGGCGCGCCGGCGCGAACCGCTGCGCGAGGTGACGGGAGTGGCAGGGAACGCAGCGGCGGGGAAGCGCGTGACTGCGCGGAAGCGTCCGCGGGGGGTGTCTGAGACGCCTGCGGGGAAGGCAGGGTCGTCGTCGTCGTCGTCACGGGGGGTGCGTCGGTCGGCACGTGTGCGCGTGCGCGGGGCGGCGGGCGTGGGCGTGGGCGTGGGCGTGGGCGT